TTTTGAGAATGATGAGGGCAATGAATGTACAAATGTGCTTTACACAATTGATGTATGTATGGATTGTGATAAGAGTTGTATGAACCCCTCATAAAATGATTAAAAAAAAACAAACAACAACGAAAAACATTACCCATCACAAGTAGAGCAACTGCACTTAAATTAAAAAATACATATGGATAAAAAGAAATAAATTATGCTCTGACTCAGGAAATTATAGAAACAAAACCTAATTTCTGAAAGAATGAGGGAAAGAAATGAAAACAGCTAAAAGAAGAATCAAAGTTGAAAATTTAAAATATTAATGGGGAAAAAAAACTAAAAGAAATATAAAGCTGCACTGTTTGAAAACGATTATTAATTGTTAGAGAAAATAAGATGAAAAAGGAAACGATGTCAAAAACTAGGGGAAGTTCAGAAACACAGATCTGAATATAGAAAAGGGGCAGGGAGGGTGCATGTAGGAAAGGAGCCCTGACCGTGCACCTGACAGTGGGCCAGGGCTCTGGACTGTGAAGCAAAGGAGTGGTGGTTCCAACCCAGCAGCCACTCCCTGGGAGAAACATGTAGGCACCTGCTTCCACAGAACTCTGCTGCCTTGGAAAAGACGTGAAGTTCACTGTCTCGTGGAGCTCCTCTGAGTTGGGATTCATGTTAGACAATAAATTTAGTGTGTATTTATATGAGACTATACTTCCTCTGGCTATCTGCTAATGTAGAAAGTAAATAATATTTTAGAAAAACACAATGTACCAAAGCTGACCCTAGAAAAGGTAAAGCTTACACAATCCAATTTCCACAGAATAAATGAGAAAGCTGTTGAAGTCTAGAAGAGCCACGTTCAGACAATTTTACAAAGGAATTCTTCCAAATTTTTAAAACCAAAGTATCCCAAGCTATTGAAGAACACAGAAGGAGGGGAAATTACAATGTTTCCCTGTATAAAATAACTTTAGTGATAATACCAAAGGATGAAGACAATTACAAAACCCATAACTCATTCTCCCAACGATCCAAAGTACCCAAATAAAGTATGCCCCTCCTCACTTATCGGCATAGTAAGGTTCTAAAGACCAGCATGTTAGGAAAAACAAACAAACAAAAACACAGCATTTTGCAAAAAATGCAAAATAAACACATTAGAATACAAAATGGAAAGTGATTAAATCACTAAGTGTCAAATTTCACTCCTGCGACTCAAGTCCCAGAAACCTTGACACATAAAACGAATAAACACAGTCAAGCATTACTCTCGTCTCACAACTCAGTGTCTGTCAAGGCCAAACATGTATGTAGTGTACATGATAGTCAGATAGTAACTTTTTTACTATCTTTACAGATGTGAGACGTTGAATAAGGCAATCGACAGTGAGGAGTAGGTAGTAGGTAGGTGCATAAGACATAGAACACCAGCATTTTGGAGTTCAAGTTGGCTTCACGCCAAGAATGCTAGAGTATTTGCATATTTAATTATGTATTATGATTAATCATAATAATTGATAAAAATTTTGTACAATCATCTCCAGAAATGCTGAAAAGGCATTTGATAAAATTCAAAATCCACTCTATTAACAATTTCAATCAAGCAGAAATTTATGATGCTTTCTTAACATGACATAATATGTATGTTGGCCTCAATATAAATAGACTATTAGGAGAATACTAGACACACTGACTATAATCAGAAATATGGTAAGAATTGCCCACTCTTAACATATATCAGATTTCAGCCAATACAATTAGACAACAGGAAAAAATATTAGAAGTATAAAAATTGGAAAGGCAGGCTAAAATGTGAATTATAGATGACATAACTGACAAACCACTGCATACATTAAAGAACTAAGTAAAAATATAAAAATTAAAAAAACCTAAGAAAAGATCAAGAAGAAAAATAATATGCATGACAAATAACTTCGTATATATAAAAGCAACAATGACATTATGGAACAGCACCTCATTTACAATAGAAATAATAAAGCGCTTATGAATTCACTTGCCCAGAAGGACTGTAAAGTGTAGATGAGGAAAACTATCGACATTCCTTAAGAACACCAAAATTAACTTGAAATGGAGACAGACCATGTTGTTGAACAGAAATATTCAAGGTCACAAAAAGTATCCCTCACTACATTTAGAAACTTATTTGCCATATCAGCAACAAAAACAATCAGGTTTTGTTTCAAGAAATGGAAATCTAATTATAAAGCTTCCGTAGAAAATGAAACATGCAAAGATAGCCAAGGAAACTTAAAAAAACAAACAAACAGTAAGAGGGAGGTAAGAGTACGTAATTGGTCTCTGAATTGACCAGTGGAAATGGAAAGAAATTTGAAAAACAGATCCGAAAGCATATGAACATCAAGTAAAAGGCACCAGTGACGGCCACAAAGAGAAAGATGAATTGTTCAACAGGGAAAACCAGGCAACAACTCAAAAAAAGAGATGAGGTTGAATGCTACGCCACATATTAACCCAAGATAAGCATCAATGAAAGATTACAATGGTACAAAAAGAAAGAAAGAAAACAATAGGGGGCGGTGGGGACGCACAGGATAACGAGCCATTCAGGATGACTAAATCTCACTAATGACAGAAATGCCAATTAAAACTACATTAAAATACTTCATATAGTAGGACATATTCCTATCAAGCAGACAAAAAACTACATTCGTGAGGCTGTAGGAACACAGGTACTTTTTCCTACATGAAGTCATCGCAGGAGTCTAAGACAGTTCAACTCTCTACAGAGAAATTTGGTAGTGTCTACTAAAATTACTAAAAAACTTACCCTTTATACCATAACCTTAGAAATTCTGGCAATTTATTTAATAGATACATCTGCGCAGGCAAAAATGGCTATACATAGCAGCCATGGTTTGTCACAGCAAAGGACAACCACCTGAGGCCAGGAGTACAGTAAACTGTGTGCCAGCCACACATGGGACTCAACACATCTAGGGCAAAAAGTTAAGGGATAGTTCTATAACTTATTATAATTCTATTTCTGGCCTATATGCTACATGCAAAGCATAACTTTTGAGGAAGTAAAAATAAGACTCAATGCTCACTGCCTCATACTGCCTAAGCATCAGGACAAAACCTTGTCATAAAAACTGCAGAAACACAGAAAGTAGGCAGGGAGTGAAACGGGAAAGGAGACCAAGAAGGGCAGAAACTTCTCTGAATGTTCCTCTTCATATCATTTTAATATCAGAATCAAAAAATGTACAACCCATTTTTTAAATTTAAAAGTGAAAAATAGGTAACCCGAGGAAAAAATGAGGTAGGTGGACGCTTACCTGAGAAGGAACACTTTTGGGTGGCTCTATGCGGATGGAAGGATCCCACTCCCCTGGGGGGAGGACAGTTACTTGGTCTAAAAATTCATCAATTCCAGATAAGAGGTCATTTCTGTCTTTTGCTTTATAGGCAACATCATGAAAAATCTAAACAAAATTCATAAAATAAGAGGAATAATATACCATGTAATATGATTTAAATGCTGAAAGAATATTGTAGCCATAGTAATCCCACTTTAAAATCCACAAATATATCCAAACTGAAGGCAATTGTTTAAACGTTCATTCCAGACAAGTTTCCAACCTATCCCAGGTTAACAATACAAAAGGTAACTCTTTTTTGACCATTAATATTATCAAATGAATTAATCATAACAACCACACACAAAGAAATAGTCATGGGTCAGGACAATTTATTTGTACATGAAAAAATTCAATAATTCTTTATTGAATTCAATAATACTAAGTCATGTCATTCTATGTCTAAGACCTTTAATGTCATACATTCTAAGGGAATGACCACTAACATGCAAATCATTTTACTTAAATAATTTATTTCATTTGATCCCCTATTTGCTAAAAAAACAATCTAAACACTCTGGATAATGCAAAGAAGATGACAAGAAAGGCAAGAACCCCTGGCATGTAAGAATCTTTCACTTTCTGGGGGATGGGAGTAGGGAGAGTGACAACAAGTAATTCCATAAGTAATTGTCGAGAAGATAAATGCTCTGATGAACGCAAAGCAAGTGACAGGGATGGTCTCTCAGAGGAGGTCACACAGTGGTTCTCAAGCTTCCTCATGCCGTGACCCCTTAATACAGTTCCTCATATTGTGGTGACCCCCAACCATCAAATTATTTTCATTGCTACTTCATAGGTGTAATTTTTCTACTGTTATGAATCGTAATGTAAATATCTGCTATGCAGGATAGATTTTCATTGTTGCAAATCGAACATAATTAAAACATAGTGATTATCACAAAAACAGTATGTCATTATATATTGTGAAATATTTATTTCTAATGACAAATAAATGAAATGTTGTCTTGAAGCATGGTGTAGCATGGGTAAGTCTTCATGCCAAGTACTCGTATGTGGGCGTATCTGCATGTGGGCAGACCCGCCTGGAGGAGCGGTGTCTCGGTTCCTAAGACCATCGGAAATATGTGTTTTCCGATGGTCTT